GGGAGGGCTGTTAGCTGGAGCATCCATCCCAGGAACGCTGGGCACCACCAGCACCGGTCTGTCGTCCATCGGGGAGCTCCTCCGCCGAGCTCACGGCACGCTCCCGCGGCCCCAGGGATGCTTTCCTTCCCTGGTTTCAGGTCTCTAGGAGGGTCGAGCAGATGAAACGGTCCCTGCGCTTGCAGGCGATACATTTTCAGCCCTGTCCTCAAGCGCTGAGGTTGCTTGCTTAGTCAAAAGGGGTTTGTGTCTGCTCTCTGCCATTCGGCAAAGTTAGGTATAGGCGTAGATGCAGAGATAGAAAGGTGCGGTGCTGTGCTTCCCGACAGAAATTGCTTCATTCCTCTTTTTTTGCCTTACGTGTACAAAGCACGCGTGTACCGGGTTTGCTCTGTGCTGAGGTGCTGTTACCTGGGAGGTCGTTGCTGCAGCCGGGTGAATATTTATATACCTGTGTGTGTAAACCTCTGCATGTGTGTGTATATTTGCGGACACACAAGGGCTGTTGGGTTTGTTGACGCACAAACACACAAACACTCACGCCTTCGATTTGTCCTTTAAGGGAATGTTTCCAGAATTTGGTCAATTTTTAAAACCCAGTTGGTCATTTCCCCCCTGCGCCTGGCTTCGGGTACCTCTGCCAGCGGATTTCCGAAGCCCCGGCACTCGGGGCGCTGCCTTGTGCTGGGGGGTCCCAGCTTGGGGCAGCCAGCCCGGCTTGCGGAGGGGATGCTCTGGGGCTCACGTCTCCTTCGTCTGCGGAGAGGTCGCCCTTTTCCCCAAGGGAAGGCTCTCTCCTCTGCGGCGGTCGGGATGCTCTTCTCAGTGGTTCGGGCCCACCAGACCTGTCCATTGAGCTTCACAGCCACAGCCTTCAGCTGCTCGCAGTCCTGGCTCTGAGCACCGCAGACGCACAGAATCACGCAGGGATGGCTTTTGCTGAGGTTTTTTTCTGGCCACTTCCAAGGGCCACCTCACCCCTACTTCCCCCCTGCAGCTCCCAAACTTGTGGCTCCTGAGCAGCAGATACTGCCGGGAGCAAAAGCCTTCCCAGTTATGTCCCATCCCGGCAGGAGATGAGCTGTGCTCTCCCGGGTGCTGCGGACGCAGCCTTGCTTTTCCCGAGGACGCACGGACGCGTGCAAGGGTAGCGCTGAAGAAGGCCGTGTTTGCTCACCAAGCCCATTCATTCCTAAAAAAGGCACGTGGCTGGGCCCAGGGCGGGCGTGCCGCCTGTTCCCGGGGGCCCTTCCGTTGTCCCAGGAGAACCAGACAGCTCAGCCGTGGCACCCGGCGATTATTTGGGCTGCGGCTCCATCCCTTTTCCCCTTGCTGCTCTCCTCCTGGTCGATGCCCGAGCTTTGCTTCCCAAGGGCGACTCGTGCCGCACGCCTTCCCGCCGGTGTCGCCCGCCGCCGAGGCTGCCCTGGCCCTGCACAGCCGGGCATTTCCCCAGCTGGATGGCAAGGGCTTCCCATGCGCGTTCTTAATGCCCATTTTGCTGAAGTTTCTCCTAACTTTTTCTCCAGATGAAGCCTGGGATTGTGGAGAGCTTGGATGGGGGTGGGTTGTCCTTGGCTGGGCTATTTATAGAGCGGGGAGAAGGAATAGAGGGGTTTACCCACATATTTTAGGGGAGAAAATGGCTATATGTGTAAAAGCAAGCCAGATCTTGTTCAGCATTCCTCCAGTTAGTCACAGGCTCCAACGACCTTGCGAGAGATGCAGGCAGCAGGAGAACTTTCCTGGAGTAGGGCGATTGCCTTTAAACCATTATACATCGTAGACATTTGGGTGAGGTTGGGATCCCAAGTTAAAACACGTCTCCCGATTCCTAAGCTGTGAGCCTCGCAGCCCTTCGGAGGAGCAGGCGGACGGCTGAGCCCGCTGGCCCGGG